ACCGTTTTAAAATCTTTCGCCAGTCAGGTGTACATCTTGTTAAGGGCCAGTCCACACAGGTATTCCTACGTAACACGGTATTACTCCCGTCAATATTTTATCTTACTTTTCATTTACCTTTTTTTTTATTTTTTGTTACAATCATTAAACAGAATCTATCGATCGATCTTTTCCTTACTTTTTATTTTTTTACGATCTAAATATATATAGAGTACATTTTGTTTTAATTTGTTCTCCCCCCCCCCCGTAATATTCTTACATTTGATATTACAAATAATTAAATAATTCACTTTGTATTCATGATTGCAAAAGACTTATTCGTGTAGGTGGTGTTGTCAAATTGCAAGGTACCAAATCTACAAATATTGTATAGACAATCGTTGAATCATATTCTAAGGACTATAAGACCAAGTAGAATTCCATTACGAGGAAAATGTAAATATAATTGTAGCGTGCTGACATAACGGTAAGATAATCCGTCGAGCAGAGGCGCTGCCTTCGCAATAAATCGTAATTTATGATCCCTATATGGCCGGCGGTATCTTCGAGAAATTCAAGACCGAGAGACTCCTGTCTTTCCTATCTCTTTCTTTCTTTATTTCTTTCATTCTTTTATTCTACGTTTCTCTCCGCCTCTTCAGACGAAAGAATCGACTTGGTAGGCCAGAAGGATTTGGTCTTGGTTCGGTAAAGATGATTATTTACGTTCTCTTCTTTCTGTCCCTCCTCCTCCTCCTCCTCCTTCTTCTTCTCTTCCTCTCTCATTCAATCCTCAAAACATTTCTTCGATTTCATTCCTTGTTTTTTTTTTTTTTTCATTCAACCAACGCGGAACGGATACACGTCTTTCCTTGCGTTTCATCATCTTTTATAGTTTCTTAGAGTGTGTGTGTGTGTGTGTGTACTAACAATAAGTATATTAAGCATGTACACATATTAATATAACAAGTACCAATAAATTAATTCTAGAGATTTACGTATCTCGGTTATAAAGCAGTCAACGGCTGCTAATGCTCGCTCTGCCGCTAATTACATAATTATATGGCGTTATGTTACGACGACCAATTAATACGTGCGTAAGTCATCATCTCGTGTCGATTCTTCAAACAAGAAGAAGAAGAAGAAGAAGAAGAAACACAAGAAGATGATGATGATGATGATGATGATAATGATGACAAGAAAGAGATGGTGAATAAAACTAAAGAGTTAATTTATTATTACTGAAACTTTCAAACACTCATTCAAATTGCAAACAAAACTAAAGTATATACTGTGTCCTATTTTATTATTAATTTCATTTTTATTTAATCCCTTAAAGTTGCACGCTCGAATTAACTCGAGCGGTGTTGCATTCAATGCTGCTATCCAAATTTTGATTAATTTTTTTGACAAGACAATTTTCTAAATTGTGTTTTTTAACATAAAAAAAATATTGTGCGTTATGGGGTTAATCAAACAAGACACACGTCTTTAATTCAAAAATTTCAAACTTTTTGAAATAAGCTGTAACAATCTGGACCATTTTGATGAAAATTTGTATGAAAAAGTTATTACAATATCTAACGTCATCTCGAATATCGATTAACTTCAACCTATAAACTTTTCGCATAACAATTTATAAATGAAAAATTAATTAAATAAACAACCTTAAATTGAAGCAAATTGTAACACTAAACTATTATCGAATCCACCTTAAGACACACACAAAATTTCAATAAAATCGGTCCAGCCGTTTAAGAGGAGTTCAGTGACATACACACGCACAGAAGAATTATATAAATATAAAGATAATTATTATTTATAATATACGTATAATTATTATTTATTCTTCTATAACTTATGTTAAATTATCCAATTATCCAACTTATTAGAAATGTTGTCTTTAACTTAGTCTTTAAATATAAGATCAAAGTGTTACGAAGTAGAGGTTTATGTTCTGTGTGTGTGTGTGTGTGTGTGTGTTAGAGTAGCACGCGTGCTCACAGTGCATTCGAGGCGGCGCGAGAGAAACGCGATTATAATTTATTGTCTTGCTTCGAGGATGACGTCGGGCGCGCGCCAGGGTATCCTTCTTCACGTCGGAGAATTAGGACTGACGTTTAGATCCTCCTCAGCATATCTTTCTGTCTCTGTCTCTGTCTGTCTGTCAGTCTTTCTTTCTTTCTTTCTTTCTTTCTTTCTTTCTTTCTTTTTTTCTTTATTTCTATCTCTAAAACATAACTTTCTCCTTTTCTTTTTTTCATATCCCTAAACGTTTTACTACCTTGAACATTATTACACAATTATTTGAAAATGAATATTACAATATTTAAAAGAATGATTAAACCCAATGGATTGGTAATAATAAAAACCCCTTTTTATTTAGAAGATTTTATTCGATTGGAAGGAAACACGCGAGTTCGTAGGCGAAGGAAATAAGATGGTGGATTATCAGATGCGGGCAAGTGATTTATTTTAAGGGTCCAAGTCGGGCATCAGACATCCGGTTTGTCGAATTACACTTTAAGAGAGCTCGTAGACAAAAAGAGTGGCAGATAAGAGACACAGAGAGAGAGAGAGAGAGAGACAGAGAGAGAGAGGAGGCCAATGAGGTGGAACGAGATCACGTAGTTTTCTATCTATTTATCTATCTATATCTATATCTATGTCTATCTTGTTCTTTCTCGCTTTCTTTGTCGCTCTCACGCTCGTCGTCCGTCGACGACACGTTAAACGTTTATCATTGCATCGACACAAGTCACGCGGTGGAGACCCTACTGTCCACTTAAAAAACGGCGATTCAGCGTTTAGTAGGAAGTGACGTCAGCTATGGAGGCCCACCGTAAACAGTGACGGATAATATAAACCATAAGTATGTTTAGAGGTGACGACTTAGCATACTTCAAATATTATAACTAACTTTCTTTATTTGTTTTTTTCATTTTTTTATTATTTTTTTTTTTTTTTTATTAAAAGATCTCTCGAGATCAATTTTGAATGAAGTTGAAAAACGTTTGAAATGATTTTATTTGATAATTCTATCTTACTAACACTGTTTTAAATCTACTCTATTTTCGAGGAGCACAGTTGATCGGCGTATCCGCATCCGCGTGTCCTTTCGTCGGAAGGGCGTTTAGATTTTAAGCAGATTCGAGAGGGGACACGGTCAACGAAGAGTACACAAGTGAGAGAGAGAAAGAGAGAGAGAGAGAAATTGTGTGTGCGTCGATTATCGCGAAGATGACGAGCATGACAGCATGTGGGAGTAGCTGTCAGTCATTGTTGGTAGCGCAGACGTGATACCGTCTCTCAGAGATTTTATCGGTCATCTTGAAATCCTTACCCTTCGACCTCAGAGATCGAGAAACGTGAATATCCATAGAATATTTATCAACACTAATATATATATATATATATATATACATTTTTTTTTCATTTATCTAATATTATCGTTTTTTTATTTTATGTTGAAATTTTTATTTGGAAAGGTCTCACGAACAGCCATTCATGACACGATTGGGAAACAAAGCGAGAGCTCGTCGCACGATCGTTATGAAGGATCATTGAGACGATGAGACTGCCGGCTTCTCTCTCTCTCTCTCTGTCTGTCTCTCTCTCACTCTCACTCTCTCTTGATCGTTCGTTGGAGCTCTTATAATAACACTTTGGAGCATTCGTGGAGCGTCATTGAAAGCTCGAGGACTCGAAAGTGTCGGATTGGCTTAGATCAATGTGTGGGCTCTTACTCTCGTGTCGTTGAATATATTGCATCTAACAGCGTACTCGTATCAGCTACGATTTTAATCTTGGGAGGTCGATCATTCTATTTTCTTTTCTATCTTATTTATTTTTATTAATAAACAAAATAAAATAAGGAAAAATCTTTCGATATAATACAAGTAACTCTCCTATAACACGATAGATAGGTTCCTAGAAAATGAAACCGTGTTTTATGAGATCCAGAGCCAATACAAAAAGAGGGGTTTAGAAATACAGGGCTACTGTAGAAGTACAGTGTTGTACACAGGTTTTTGTATAACCGTGTTATAGGATGCCATGTTGTAGGAGGGTTCCTGCAATTTATGAATCGTGTTGTGGGAGGGTAACCTTATGTATATTCACAAGCGTTTACCTTTTTTGGGTAACACACAGATCGAAAAGGAATATCTTAGAATAAAAAGGAAAAGAAAAAAACGTGGCTTGTCGACCTTCGGTAAAATCCGTTGATTCGTAAAATGGACGCGTACGAGGAACGACGAAAGCACGAAAAGTACGAGAGACAGGGTCCTCTGAAATCACTTATGCCAGGAGCATTTTCGTGCTGAGCTACGTGTGCTCCGTCTTTAATCGAGATCGAAATCGGTCGGCTTCGTATGGTCCCATCAATGACCAAACTGACATATACTCCTCACGTACCAAGCGTGCGCATCTCTCTTTCTATTTCTTTCTTTCCTTTTTTTTTTCTTCCCCTCCCCCTCCTTTCCTTTATTTCTTTCTTTCTTTCTCTTTATAAGCAGCCACTTTCCACAAAAATTCTTGGCACACGTTTTATAAGTCCTCGGGAGTAACATACGCGGGTCTTTTCGTAATTTCAAACGTGTACAAAATTGTTCACCAGTCATGTCATTCAATCCTCTCTCCTCTTCTTCCAATTTCTTTTTTTTTTTTTTTTTTTTTTTTGGTTTTGGTTTTGTTTTGTATTGGTGTGTTTGTTGTTGTTGAATCTCTGTGTGAAAGAGAAAGAGAGAGAGGAAATGTGATNGGATCCATTCCTAATATTTCGTCATTTTTTTTTTTGAAAGTTCACGCGTAATCGTGGGAACATAATTGTTCGTTCATCATCAGCATCATCATATTTTTTTTTTTTTTTTTTCATTTGGTTTTGGTTTGGTTTTTCCATAGGATCCATTCCTAATATTTCGTCATTTTTTTTTTTGAAAGTTCACGCGTAATCGTGGGAACATAATTGTTCGTTCATCATCAGCATCATCATATTATTTTATTCTTATTTATTATTACAGAGGCCACCTTCTTCGTCGCTTTCCTATCCTGGTGCAGGTGGTAACGACGATGCACGTAGTCCTGGAAGCGGTGGTACACCTGGACCACTCAGTCAACAAGCACCTACCAGTTTGGATTCCTCGGACCCCGGTAAGTAAATCCCAATTATTTTCATCATATAAATGTAGACTGAGTTTAGGATCGATGAACACCAAAAGTAGGTCTCCCTTCTAATATTTTGTATACAAGAGAGTACAAAAATCAAGAGGGGAGTGAGTGATAAAAGTGGGGATGGAGGTGTGAGGAGGGGGGGGGGAGAAAAGTTGATGACTCGCGAACGCGACCCAACGACGATATCACGCGACGAGCGACGAGTCGATGACAATCAAGACGCGGATCGAGGAGACCCCACGGACCTTCTGCACGCCCTTCAAATTTTACGAACACGCGCGCGCTCCTCGACACTATCAAAAGCTAAAGGCTTATGCCGAGACACTAACGAGCGGGACCGTCCCATTGGCGTAGATTTTCTTTCATTCCTAATCATTGAATATATTTTGTAAAATTAATATTGACTCCCATATATAATAATAATAATAATTATTATTTTTTATTATATATTATTATATTATAAACTAAATATATTATTATTAATAATAAATATATAAGAGAGAATATAAGAATAGAGTAAAGTATATAAGGATCGGTAGCAATGATAGATCACGCCAATGGCCATGCTCGGGTTCAGTCAGTCACCGGAGGGAATACAAGTTCACGACATCATCCCATAAAGATTCATTAAGGTCCGTCGTCTCTATATTCGCTGTGTCGTGCCAACATTATAGAGCTGCGTTGCGTGCCAGCTCGACGAAGCGTGCACGCACCGAACACAACAAACACGTAAGCGTCACACGTATACGTATAAGAGAACGAGACAAAACGGTTGATCAATAACAATCAAAAGCGAGAGTTACGTTAGCCTTTAAAACACATACCACCAAAGAAATAAAAATAGTAAGAGAGAGAGAGAGAACGATATATAAGTTTAAAGCAACGTCGTCGTCGTCGTCGTCGTCGTCGAGGTTGCGTCTTTGGATTTATTGTTCTCGAGCAGTTTACACGAAGCAAGAGCTAATTCGTGACGAGATACGAATCTCCGCGAGAAATCTGTCGCGGCTGCACTCGCTTCCTCCTTTTCCTATCGCCATGCATCGTCCTATTTGTTCTTACCCTCCTACATGTGTATGAGATTGTGTGCGTGCGTGCATGTGTATAAATGTGCACGGTTCGAACGACGTTTTCGCGACTCGTTAACGAGCGATAATCTTAATTTCAGTGGTCGTTTTTTTTTTAGGAGGGACGCTCGTTAAAATCATTTTCGTTCTATTCCAAAACTTCGAAACATTTGATTATTATTATTTTTTTTTTTAAATAAAATCATTTCTTTTCACTTAGTACAGAATATATTATTAAAGTGTGTGTGTGTGTGTGTGTGTATGTAGGCACTTATGAGAAGTATAATCTGTTGCATAATAGGAATCAGTTTCATTCGTGTATACCTGCAATTTGTTAGCGAGATCCAACACCTGCAAGTACTTGTGTTTTGCGTGGTTTCACAAACGATTCGCCGATTTACTTACCGATTAGTCTACGGGATTGTGCATTCCTGAATTTTTTGTTGTTGTTCTTTCTTCCCTTGTATTTTATTTGATTTTATTTTTCATTTGGCTCCGAGCACTTTCTTGTCTTTCTCTCGGTTGTGTTAATTTAATAAACGCGCGAGCGTGTATTCACGGACGAGTGCAAGCGAGCTCAGTTCGTGACCAGATATCGATCTCGAACGCGAGATCATTCTTTCATTCTCTTTCTCTTACTCTTCCTCTTTCTCTTACTATCTCATGGTGGTTTAGTACGGTTTTGCTAAAGCGTTTGTTCTACCTAGAAAGTGCAACGAGGTGACACGCGCAAGATCGTGAGAAGAAAAAATGCATTACCACTGAACCGTTGGTTGGTTGGTTGGTACCCGGTGTATCTACGACGAGAGAATGCGTGGTCGTCGTAATGTTCTAATATTACATACTCTTTCTTTTTTATATTATATAAATGAATTAACATTTTCTTAAAGAGATAGAAACTTGTTGTTAATAATAAAACATAATTGGATTTGTATGACCAGGAGTTTGTATCAGGAAATATATTCCCTTTTTTGTAAAAACGTGTTTGTTAAAACTTGCTGACCCACCGTGTTATCGAAAGTAGAAAAAGGAAGAAAAATAAAACGAAGAAGTAGGCACCTACTCTCGTTTATCCGGAATGAATTAATAAACGACGTCTACTACTAGGCACCGTCGAATAACGCGAGGAACTCCACCCACGTCGGTGAATAAATTTATCGTACTCGCGAGGAAAAGGTGGAGGTAAAGGAAAATAATAAAAAAAAAAAAGAATCGATATAGAAGATTATGAAATAATAATAATAATAATTATTATTATTATAATAAAAATAATCGAGAAGAAGGGGAAAGGGGGAGAAAAAAAAGATGTTAACAAAACAACAGGAGAAACACAATCTAGTAAATCGATATGTTGAACGGTAAACAAGTTTAACCATAAGTAAAGCATGCTATTCTCTCATCAATTCACAATTATAGTATTATTTAGATTTTGAGTAATATTACAGTGTAATTGGTTGATTTACATCATGAAACAGACTTCAATGCGTAGTACGAATAGAATAGGAAAACGATTGAGTGTGTGTAGAATTCTTTTATTTAACGTTTAAAGATAGATAGATTAAAATATCATGAAGCTTTTAGTCTAATCAATTTTTCCAATGATAATTTTAATTTCGATAACACGTTCTGTGCCACGTGTACCACCGATGGTACACTTACCATTATAGACATATTTATTTAATGTACTAAAAATATTTGTTTATAACTAATTTTATTGTGTAGAAAAATATTCTTATTCAAATATTATAAATATAATATAAAATAAAGCACCATAAGTTTGTTTAATTGTTATATTTACAATAATTAATAATTATATGTAATGATTGATTTTATTCAAGCAAAATTGACCTGGCTTAAATTACAAGTCAGGTAAAAAGGACTTTGGAAGGGAACGTGCTTATTGGGATTTTATTTATTATATTATATAATTCTTGTATAATAATTATTCTTATATAAGTAGAGTGCATTGAAGTATGAAAATAATTGTTAATTAATTGGTGTAAATATCTATTGCTGTTTAAAAGTATGAAATATATGTTCAGAGTATCGTTCTCTTTAAAATCCACGTTACACATATTTCAAAATATTAAAATCTAAACGTTTTAATCTTAAATTCACTTTATTAGAAATATTATGATAGTTGTACACATACGTAACGTTCGGAAAGTCATATAAACAACATCGTATAAAAGAATTTTGACAGAGGACAACGTGCCAGTCTGAAGGTGAATTTCGAAGAGGACGGTACTCCTGACATATACACAGTGCTTTTAAACATCAATACACATTTCTTTCAATTCATTCATAATTATTTGAATATTCTAATACACTCTACTTATATTTAAGATTGTTTTATGAAATGCATACAATTACACGAACAATAAGAATTTTCACAGATGACCACGTGCTAGTCTGAAGCTGAATTCGGAGGAAAATGGTATTTTGATTATATACTTGGTGTTTTTAGTTACCATTACACATTTCTTTTAATTAATTAACTATTATTTTATTATTTAAGCCTTACTTATGTTAGAATAGTTATCATACAACATGAAATGCACACAATTGCACAAACAATAAGAATTTTCACAGATGACCACGTGCTAGTCTGAAGATGAATTCGGAGGAAAATGGTACTTTGATCATATACTTGGTGTTTTTAGTTACCATTACACATTTCTTTTAATTAATTAACAATTATTTTATTATTTAAGCCTTACTTATGTTAGAATAATTATACACGAGTTATATATATATA